CACCGCCGGGCGCAGTCACATCGTCGCCTTGATGGTCCGGTGATTCAGAACACCGCGATTCAGAACACGAAGTTGACTCCAACTGCTCCGCCACAGTTGTGGGACTGGATGCCCTCTCTAACACGGTACAAGAAAGTCTGGGGATATCTCCTCTTCGTCTTCTTCGCCGTCGAATTGTACGCGGACAGATCCAGAAGCCCTATTGATTGCTTTGAGGGTGCAATGAGAGTTTCGCTCTCTGTCGAAGCAACGACTGCAAAGAGCGGAAATGAATGTTAGCAAGCTGCGCAGAGTTTGGAAGGATGACATCGTAACTAACGTACCATTCGGGCTTCAGCTCTGGTCTGGGACGAAACAAGCCTAATCGAAACGATGCCTCGTCAATTGTACTTTGAAGGAGCTGACTGCTAGGCTTCCCATTTGGCTTCCACCCATCGAAGAATCGAATATTGATTGTCTTTCGATTCTTCTTCTTGCCGCATGCAACACCAACCCGATATGCCCCTTCGCAGTTCCATTGGCGGCTGACCAATTCACCGGCTTCGGGGGTTCGAAAAACATCTTCATCCCGAATTTCCCCAACTTCTTCAGCCTCGTGGGGCTCGACTTCTTCGTCGGAACTCTCGCTACTACCTTGCTCCTCGTCATCGTCTTCCGGGGCGTCCTCACCGCTGCTATCGACCGTCGCTTTGCCCGACGAATCGTTCCCTGGGGACGACGCTACGCTGTCATTTTCTTTGTCTTCGCTTTGTGCATCTGAATCGTCAGCGTCACAGTCCATTCGTTCTGGCTCGTTGGAAGCCCGCACCTTCTTCTTCATCGTGATTGATGCGTCGTCCTCGCTATCGTCAGAGCTGTCGTCATCTGAGTGTTTGTGGATAGCATTTTCTTCTTCAATGTCTGAGATGTCCATGGATGGTACAGCGGCTATAGCCTTCTCCTCCTCAACGTCGTCACTATCGATGCTCTCCAAATTCAGTTGGAGAGCGACCGTCAGAGATTGCATGCCACCAAAGCTGTTGGATGATTCTCTCCTGGCAATTTCTTGGTGGTTTCGGTGTGGCGAAATCTCGGCATTGTTGCTGTCATCCCAAGACGACGATGATTCCCAGTCTTCTTCTTGGTGATGTGGTTGAGTCAGGATCTCGGCATCAGCAGCATTGATGCTGTCATTGTCAGATGAAGATGCTTCCCTCCTGGCTTCGTCTTGGCGATGAGGTTGTGGCTGGATCTGGGTCTCAGTATCTATATTGAAGCTGTCATGGTTAGACGAAGATGGTTCGTTGCACCTGTCATCTTGTTGATTTCGTAGTGGTGGGATCTTGGCCTCAGCCTCAACGATACTCCTGCCATCGTCGAATGAAGAGGATTCCCTCCTGGTGACATTTTGCTGCTGTGGTTGTGTGAGGATCTCGGCCTCGGAATCATCGCTGCTGTCATTTTGGGATGAAGATGACTCCCTTCTGGCTGCTGCTTCTTGCTGTTGTGTTGGGAATTCGGTATTGGCCCCAGCATTGCTTCTGACAGACAAAGACGATTCCCTCGTGGCTTCTACTGGTTGCTGTTGTTGTTCTTGTGGTGGTGGTGGTGGGTTCTCTGCCTCGGCACGATGATCACCACTCGTGCGTCCCAAATGTTCTTCTTGGAACGCGTCATCCAGATTCCGGCCCGTTACAGTCGCTCTGATTGCGGCCGATGCCGTCTTCCTGGCGGTAATAGGACCAACCGACAGTCGGTAGCGATGGCTTTGATCTGTGCTGGCGTCCTCGTCCTCGTCTGATGACGAGGCAGGAGACCGGACAGGAGTCCGGAAATAAGAATCTTGACTGCTGCAGCTCCCAGCACTACTAGAAGAAGAATCGCTGTCGGAAGAGAACCCATCATCATCATCATCAAAATCAATCCTCAGTAGTTCTCCCCAGGAAACTCTCCGAATCTGCTGCCGATCCACTGGTGGTGGTGGCGTTGGAGGAGCCGCCGCCACAGTGGCCATTTGTTGTGGGGCAAGAGTTTCTGTAGTGGCGGCGTCTCGTTCTTGGCTGGATTGATTTGTTTGGTTGTCACCCTGCTGATGTGTCGGGGCATCGTTGTGTTCCGGAGGAAGGGCATGATTCTGCTGGAGTTCCTGCTGTTCCGGTTGGTTGTCACTCTTTTGTGTGTTGGCAACCACACTGCTAGCCAACGGCAGTTGCCTCAAACTGGGTCTCTTCCTCCCTGAGAGTCGTTGTGCTGGTTGCTGTCGTCGTCGTGGCTGCAATACGGCCAGTGCCTTTGCCGACGGGTGTGGTGCCGTGGGTGGCTGTGAAACAACAACAACAAGTCCATGCAAAAAGTCTGCCGAAACGAGTTCTTGGTTGGTTTGACCTTTGTAGACGACATGCACGCCTCCCATTTCCATGTCAATGCGCTTCAGAATGCACCATCGATCCTTTTCTTCATCGTAGCATGTACTGGAATAGAATAGAATAAATCGAGTCATCAAACAACCAGCCAAGCAAAACAACACCAAGACAGATGTTTGTTTAGCAGAGAATAGACACATATTTCAGGACATTCCATTCTTTTGTCCATCTTATTCTTCTTACCTTCCAACTTGTAGATCATTCCTTGGTCGGAACATGGCCTTTTGAAAGAGTGTCTTGTTGATGTGAAATTTTCCTTCAAACACATCTTGTGGTGCTGATGATGTCCCACATTGCAAGAACCTCAAGAGTCCATCATTGGAACACATGACACCTGTTCGATAGAGCAAATTCGGTGCCGCGTGCCACATGTAAGAGACGAGACTCCCCGGGATGGGTCGAACGTATACATCATCCACGCCAATCGAGAAATGAGGTCGATGGGCGGTGCCATTAGTAGTAGTAGTAGAAGAGGAACTCTCCATCGTTCATCCACAGAAAAGAATATACGAGACAGAAGAAATCAAAAATGCTAATCACCGCAGCTTTCCGCTAGCTAGCGCTCCAGAAAACACTGGTAGGGCGTAGCCAACCACCAGTGATGGAATGGCTAGCTATACGGTACTATTCTATAACAATGAACTCTTTGGCCGTGGAGATGAATGAAGAAAGAAGACGACCAATCGCCAACTCCACGACGATGATTATGAGGATTGATTGATTGTGACATGACAACCAATATAACAAACTGGACCGCAGCACCGCAGCGGAGCAAGTTTTGAAGTGAACAGAACAAGATTGCCAGATCGCACACTTTCTCCTTCACATTTGATTGACAGCTATGCTGGCGCATTTCAGTCGGGGTGTAAGTAATTGGGGTACCGGTACTCTGGTACAAGTGCTGGAAAGCAAGAAATGATAGCAATGGTCTAGCTAGCTCCGGTACTATTCATATACAATGAAGAGTGTCCACTTGGAGATGCACCAATGGAAGACGACAGATCGCCAACGTAGCAACTTGTTGTGTGGATGCGAGCTGGACCAGCCTGTGCTGGTTTCGGGGACCTTTCGTACACTTGTAGTGTTCTGTGGTCCAAGGTTTCGTCTGCGCTGCAGGCAAATTGTACAGTACTTTACCGGTTTCGCCGCTGGTAGCATGCAGTGTGCCTGATACCATGGTTGTCATAGCAATGAATCCTCAGGCTCACGGCCGTTGAGTTAGGGATTATCTATGGCAGCCATCCGGAAGCCAGCGAGGGCCAGGCAACAGCACCTTCCCAAACTTTGAGGAAGCACCCTCATTTGTTTTGTCTTGACACACCTTTCTCTGTCCTTCATGGATGGCTGCTTTGTCACACTCCTATAGGTCAACATCCAGACACTTTGTCAACATTGACATGAACTCCCCAGGATGGGTCGAATGTATTCATCGTTGATACCAATCGATAAATGAGGTCGATGGATGGTGCCAGGTGTCTCCATCGTTCATCTACAGAAAAGGAAATCCACCTGATTCACCGAAACTTTCCGCCAGCACTCGGGAAATAGCACTAGCCTAGTAGGTTTAGCATAGCCAACGCTACAGATGATCTAGCTAGCTACCGGTACTATTCAGATACAACATCCGCTCTTAGTCAAGGAGATGCATAAATGAAAGCCGACAACGCCAACAACTATGATAACTCCTGACTCCTGAGGATTGATCGACAAGATGACAGAGAGAACAGAGGAGCAAAAAGATCTATCGAAGAAATGATTTTCAGATCGCACACTTTCTCCTTCAAATTTGATTGACAGCTATGCTGGCTCATATCTTATGAAGGAGACGTGTACACGTAAGTTCTTTGCACGTATCGGTACTGGTATGTTTGAAAGCAGGGATAAAAAGCAGCGCATCATCGTCGGAAACTGCACAGGGACCGATTACAATCTTGTAGAATTACGAGAAAGCTCCAAATATTAAAATCCGACATCGAGACACACACCGACAACAACTTTTAAAAGATCAAGTGAGACGAAAGACTTCATGGTGGCCTGGCTAGCTAGTAGAAGTATTCTTGCATAGACGTGTACCAGGTACCGTACTGTATCCTCATTCGGTCCACATGAATGAATGATTGATTGTTGATCTCCATGAAAGGCACCCAAACACACTTTCACAACTCCTTCACCGCGTCCTGTTACGGTTTAGTCTGTTCGGTTGATCCATCTTTCTGGTTCATAATTTCACAACTGACTTGACAAATAAATCGACAATCAAGAAGAAAGAAACAACACGATGTCTATCCAAACTCAGCAGCAACAGCAGCAACAACAACACGAGACAAGAAGCAAGTCTCTGTGGAGCTCCGTGCTGTCCGTACTGTGGGAATTTTGGAGTTGGCTGTTGAGCATTCCGGATTTGGTGTTTCCCATTGTGAACAGTCTCCTCCCATGGGGCCCCAAGTTTTTCTCGCAAGGCTACGGCGATCCCGACATTTACTTCAAACGACTTCATCAGACGATTGCCGCGGCGGCCGGTGGAGCCAACGGGCCGTATATGACACAACACGCACTAAAAGAAGGCAAGAATCTCCATGTCAAGGAAACCCGTCGCAAGAACGGACTCGTCTACTACCAAGGCACTTTCCAGAGTCCCATGGCCGCATTGTTTCCACAAGAATCCCGTTATTGTCAATTCGTCATGGTGGAACCTCAACAACTGCACTCTGCCAACAACAACAACAGTACTACTAGTACTAGTACTTCACCACCAGTCTACATTTTCTTGTTTCCATCGACGGGAGAAATGGGCAATGGCATGCGTCTCGCCATGGCCGAACGATTGGCCCACAAATACGGATGGGCGTCCGTCATTCCCACGGCGGCATTTTACGGCAGTCGCAAACCCCGCGATCAACTTTTGTTTTTCTTCAATTCCGTCACCAATATTCTCTTGCACAGTGAAGGTGTCATTGAAGAAGGCATGCTGCTCACCAATTGGATTATGTCGGAACGATCTCCCCAAGCCCTGGTCTGTCATTCGGGATTTTCTCATGGAGCCTGTACATGCGCGTATACATCGGTCGGATCGCTCTTGGTGGGGTTGGATGGGAGTCGGATGGCGTGTGCTCCGTATACGGGATTTGCATCTCCCGGGGTGCTGGCCGATGGGATTCTGCAAAGTGTCCTCCAATGGCGGGCACTGGCGCCTAGTAGTAAACAACACTTGTTCGAGTTGTTGGACCAATCCCAACTCTCGCTATTGACATGTCACACTAATGACAATAAGTTGGCCGTCATTCGAGGCATGTCCTTTGAACGCGACGGGGTCATCCAAGCCAAGTACACGCACGAGATGCAACGACAATTGGCCCATGTGGCTGCCGATGGGCATGTTCCGGTGCAGTGGTTGCCCGGGGGACACATTACGGCCGGTATTACACGACCATACTTTCAACAACGATTGATTGAACAAGCCGTACAAGAACTCATTGTCAAAACGACAACTACACCAGCAAATACTACAACTACTCGTGTCAAGGCGGACTAATTTTGAAAATACAAAGGGACTCTTTGGTGATTGCATAGAGTAAACACTGTCCATCGTCTACCGGTAGAACCGTAAATGCATGTTATAGAATGATAAATGATGAATCAAATAAAACGATATCTTTACCCTTTGTGGTGAACTGTTTTCGTGGTCCCTACCAATGCTAAAGCGCAGCTCCTTCTGCTTCCATTGGCTAGCGCATGCAATGCTTCCACGATATCCGCATCAGCATCATTCAAAGCCGTGTAGTCGTCACGATTGCTTCGTCATGACATTCACGATTGCTTCGTGCAGGGCAGCCAATCCATCTGTCGTCGTCTTAGCTGCGGTAGCTGGTAGCGTGCGTGGAAAAGAGAAACTACATCGTGGTGTGACCACGCTCGGCAAGGTAACACGGGCGTGCTGTACTTTTGGTCACGACGAGAGGAGACGTTCCACGTTCAAAGTTGCTTTCTTACGTCCTCGGTCCTCTCATAAAAGAAGAGCACAACGGCGAAATCACAACATACACAGCGATTGACTAGACTCGACTCGCTTTGATAGATCCCCTACTAGCTATCTGGTATTCCTTGATCATTTTGAAGAACCATGCCGCGTCTGAACACTCAATACATGTACAATCGCGAATATGGCTGCGATGATATAGAGTTTGTGCAGGTGGATGACCTCCAGGACCTTTCGCCACTTCACAGCTTGGTGGTCACAGGAGCACCTTTGGCGATGGTTCACCTAGTCTACCAAGCAGATCCAGCAGCCATGACAGATGACATCTTTCTGGATGCATGCTATCATAGTCCGTGCGATGTCATTGAGTTTCTCAAGGGCCATGTAGTGGATCACATCGTAAAGATTGCGGACATCATGTTGGAAACGCTTGACGACGATGAACACCCAGAGAAGTTCGAGCCTCTTCTTGACTATTTTCCAGAAGCCCTAACATATTCCAAGGATCCTGAAAGAGTCTCCAGCCCCTTTACCGAGGCGTTTAGGTGTGCATCTGAGCTTGGCGATGCTGTCCTACTCAAAATGATACAATGTCTCCCATGTTCTTCCAAGCAAATTCATGTCTCTCTCCAATGGACCACTACTGAAACCAAACAAGTAAGGTCAGCATTGGCATCGAAGGTGCGGTACATGACAAACCTGGAATTCTTGAAATTGCCAATCGACTACGGAGACTCTTTTGATTGTAACATGGTTGAAGCCATCTCCCACCAAATTGCATCTGGTCCGTTGCAGTATCTCGAAGTCGACGACGCCGGTATGGAATCTGGTGGGTTCTTTCTGCCACTTTTGGATGCTTTGGCTGGAGCTGGTGATGCCTCCAAGCTGAAAGAGTTCAAGCTCACAGTACCGGCAGCTACCTGTGCTGGTATGATCCAGACTGATACTTACCAAGACCGCATGATTGAGATCTTGCAGTGGAATACAACTCTAAAAAATGTCAACATAGTCAGGTACCGGGACATCAATGGCAAGCGCGTATGTGAGAAAAGCAAGAAGCAGAACATCATTGACTACTATACAGCACTCAACCGCTATGGTAGGCATTTGTTGCGAGATACAGAGAAGCCTCTGGACATGGCCCAATTAATGACCTCGGTGATTTCACGAGCAGGTACTCAGGAAGGAGTATGTGTTGAACAGCTTGTTCCAGTGCTCTTTGGGCTCTTGCGGGAAGCACCTGACAAATGGATTTCCTTTCGTGGAGGAAAAGGCAACAAACTGGAGGAGAAGAAATCAAGCCTGAAACGCAAAGCCTCGAGTTCGCTTGACCGAAGTTCTTTCCAGGGCTAGTTCCTTTTATTGTTTTCTATTTGCTTAATCATGACTTGACACAGTATATCCAGATGTGTTTTATTTGCTGCAAAGCTCCACATGCAGGCAGCTATTACAGATAGTACTTTCACAAAGGCTGATGAGCATCAACCAGGGGTTTGGAATCCTCTTCAAAACTATTTATTCCAACTAATCTATATAGTCGCTATCTTCCTGCTTGTGCTCAGCCATATCTTTGCTTGAAACTAGCTTTGATTTCCTCTTTGAGCAATACCTGAAAAGTAACGCTTTAAAGTCAAAATCAGCAGAAAAATAAGAGCATCCCAGGCTCTTCCGCTGGGACCATGCAAATGAGATGTCACCAGCAAGCGCGTGGTAAGATCCGCATCGGCATCAAAGGCATCCGCGATGAAATCATAGTACCTGTCTTTGTATGCTGTAGGAAGTCTCTTCCAAATGTCTCGATAGGTCTGGAATCTTGGTTCGTATTGTCCCAGGTTCATCCCTAAGTGTATCGTCAACACCACAATGAAGCCTATCAAAGACACCTCCGCGGAGCTGAATACGGCCAAGTGCACCCCGAGTAGAAAGCTGCTCGCACCTGTATGCAGATTGGCAATGGCAATAAGTGGTAAAACACGGCGCAACGTCCATCGATCTGCCAACGTCGGAAAGTCTCGTTTCAACAATGGTTCTTTCCAGAGTTTCCGTCGAATGCTTCGGCACTTCTCATCCTCAAGCAACATTTCAAAAGTCGTTTTCACGAGGAGGACTCCATGCAAGAAGACGGCCTGTCCAACCAGACAAAGAGCCCCTTTGTTGAATCGTCTTGCAGTGGCAGGACCAACCTTCTAGCGCCGCCGCCGCGGAGATCGAGCACTGTCTTTTTGAAATGGAGAGCTCTGTTTGTGGATTGGCGGCAGTGGCAATGCAGCAGCCAAAGAGCGGGCCTTATCTGCTGGCAAGCGAAACCCGTCAGCCCTCCCCAATAAGAGCAGGAGGAGAGCTCCCCACCAGACAATCCGAAGCATCTTTCGTTGGGTCATGACTGTTTGGTGTTGTTGTGTTGTCTTGCTTTGGTTGTTGACCACCCACTTGACAGATTTTGAGGCGCAGAAGCTATGGCGTACAACAAACAAACAATAGTGGTTTGTTTGGTCGTTTGGTCGTTTCTTTTCTTGATGGTTGCTTTGGATCAAGCTTTTGCAGATTTTGAGGTTTAAGCCATGATGGGAGGCGAGGTAACGTTCTCTCTCTCTCAAACTCTCTCTCCGATGCATCCTCAAATGCTGTCAATGCCAATCTCTCCACGCTCCACGCTGCCTGGTTTGGATGGAAATGATCCTATAGAATCTCAATCGAATTGGATTTCGATTCGATTGAAGATTCAGACTCAATTCGAATCGAATCAATCGGCCCGACACTCCTTGCAAAAACGGCGGAGAAAGTCAATTTTTGCGAAAGAAGCCCAAGAAATGTCAGTCGGCGATGGCATTCGCTGGGCGAAGATGAGAAACGTCTAAGTACCATAGCGTTGGACTGTTTTGCTGCCTCCAAGAGAGAGCTCCAGTCTCTCTAAAACAAGCAACAGCCTCAGCTAGCAGCAAGCCAACCAAGGGAGCAAGTCGAGATCTGGTGGGACCGGACCGGCCGTGATTTCTTCGATCACCTCTGACCTCCGACGACTTTCAGGGTGTATTTGGCTGCTTGAATTGGATGCCCCCTCACAAGAAGAAGTTCTACATGGCGGCCCAACAACAACCTCCCAAGGCTCCCCTTCAAGTGCCGTATGCATCGGATGGAGAAGAGGTGGAGGTGGCAGTCGTCGTCAATGACAATACGGCTGTTGACAGTGGGGAGAATCCCTTGCCTGCTACCGGTAGTGGTAACGGTGCTGTCAAGGCAGGCCTGAGGCGCAACAAACGGCCAGTCGCGATTGCCTTGGTACTCTTGGTGGCTACCATCATCTTATTAGTGGTGCTGGGTGTGGTGCAAAAGGGGAACAACAGCAACAACAATAGCAATGGTACTACAGGTAGTACATCATCCACAACTGTCATAACAGCAGGTCCCACTACTAGTACTCAAGAAGACACTCCCGCAGACGAGAACATTTTCCATCAGGAACCTCCCGACACTGGAGGCACAAGAGTTACCCAAACCAACACTCCAAATGCGACAACAACAACAACAACACCTATTCCCACCACACCAGTGCCCACTGTCCCTTTTGGAGAAGCTACGGTTCCCCCCACAATGCTACCGGTACAACCACAACCTACTTTTCCAACGTTACCACCTGCCATGGCGACCAACAACAACAACTCTAGTAGTAGTAGCAGTAGAATACCCACATTGCCACCACAAACGACTCAACCCACCCCCACGGCACCACCCGTCACGGCAACGCCCACCAATACTCCGGGAGTTCAAGTACCCAAAGAAACACCAGCACCCATCATGGAGGCGCGAGACACTGCTCCTCCCACCACTGCCACTCCAGTGAATACTGCCACTCCAGTGAGTAGTCCTACTACTAGTACCCCCACCACATCCCCTCCGACCACCACTCCCACCACCGCCCTCCCCACTTTGACACCCACCACTCCCGCCCCCACACGCGTCTCCTTTCGAGAACGACATTCCAGCTACGTCGGAATGCTCGATTTGCAAGACTGGGAACAGGCATCGTTGGATGGACTCATTGCCATGGACCGACAAGCACAAGAACAAGATGCCGTACAAGAGCGTCAAGGGGGTATCAGTTGCAATCCACCGTCGGGAGTATCCTCCTCGTGCTGTGTTGGCGGATTTAGTAGTGGCGGGGACATGTCCATTCTGTATCAAAAAGATTGTGCCAAATCCATGTTACAGGGAGCTGCCATTGACGATTTGCGAAAAGATGCACAAACGTATTATAACCTCAATCCCATTCCCGGCGATGGTGGTGCTTTCGAATGCGATGTCTGTCAAATTGTGGAATTGGTGCGATCGCAGGATTTGAAAATTGCCTTTTTGGGAGATAGCACCCAAAATCAAGTGGCGGAAGGATTTGCCTGTGAATTGGAACGACGGGGGTACGAAGTGCATCGTGCCAGTTTTGCCGTCAATCAAGAGTTTGATGGGACATGGGCCAATCGACGACATTTGAGTACACGGACTATGCAAATCCGTTCGCCGTTGTGGGCGGATGGTCAATTTGCCCGCATTCAATATCATCAAATGTACCTGTTGCCCATGGTGGAACCGGAACACTTGACGAGTATTACGGCACAAACGGATATTCTGGTGTTGGGATTTGGATTGCATTGGTGGTTTACCAATAGTACACCCAATACCTTTCGACGTGCCGATGCCTACTATTCGGCCATGTTGGATCTGTTTCGTGTGGTGAGATTGCAGAATCATGTCCAACTAGTGGCACATCGACAAACGTCGGCAGAGCACTACGATTCACCGGGAGGTGATTGGTTTCAATGGTACGAACGATACGAACGATCGATGCCTTGATTTATGGTTTGACATATAGACGTTGTTGTCTTGTGGCTCACGAAAGTGTTGTTTGATTGCTTGTTTGCACGAAAAGGTACGGGAACCGCGACAATTTGGCCCAAAGCTGCGTTCCTCTCGCAGCAGGCGATGATGTTGCCGGTTGGCGTGAACGTGCCGTATCCAAGGCCGCCGCCGATGCCAGCTATGACATTGTCTTGGCCAATTCCAACATGCCAGCGTACCCGTCTGGGACGGGTAACAGTGAAGTGGTGCTATTGCCCTATTTTGACTTTACGGCCAAACAATATACCATGCACCCCTTCCGAGGAGACTCGCAGGATTGCACACATTATTGTTCGAGTCCGTTCTTGTACATGCCCATTTGGAGGTCTCTACGTCTTGCCATGGATCGGCAGTGGTCATCATGATGACGATGCCCGTTTATGATTTATATAATATATATATTCAGATTGGCTATCAGGGAGACGGCCATACATGCAAATGCACTACACCAGCAGCTAGCTAGCTACACGTTGTAAAAAACTGCACCAAACATTCTCATTGCACCTACTTTCACTCTCAGGAGAAAAGTGGAGAGGGAAGATGCTGAAAGTACCCAAATGTTATGGTTACTGATTATACCGGTATAGCAGCTAGCTATCTATCACTTACTCTATTACTTTATAATATTATCACGAGAGGCATCTGGACACAAGACGGCCTTTGGAAATGCTGCAGAATTCGGGCACCCCTTTGGGACAAAAGCAGGCGGCAGCGCATCCTTTCCAGCGAACGCAGGTACTGGATCCGGTCCACTGCCAGAAGCTGGCTGCGTAAATGCCGGTTTCGAAGGTTTTAACGTTGGAGCAGGAGTGTTGGGGTTTGCCGCTGGATCGTCGTTCATGGCAAGAAGCAATAACGATCCTCGGGCAAACGAGCTTGTACAAGTAGTGGATGGTCTTGCTGGAATAACCACTTGTTCCACTACCGGTATTATCAGCGGTGGTGGCTCCATCACCAAGGCTGTTGAAGCTGCGACCAGCAGCAGCCGGGAAAGCAGTATCAAACCAGAGCGCATCTTGTTCTGGTTGCCTGAGACTTGACTCTATTGGCACTGATACGGTACTAGCTAGTACCTGTCAGACTCGACTCGGGCTGTGATGGATGTGCTTCATCATGATGGATCTGCGGTGCAAGAACAATCACGAGTATCCATGACTGAGATCTGGATCTTTTAGGTGGCTTTGGTCTCCTCGAACGGATGGTCCAGTCCCTTTTTTGTGCAGGCCAAATCGACGACCGCAGCATTCGGTACATCCAGAACATTGAAAGTACTGTAGTCTAGGAACGCAGCCAGTGCCCCAACCTCTGATAAGTCAGAACTGAAACATCCCAACCGGAACAGCTTCATTGAAAAGGCTCCCTGAGCATTGGCAACTTCCAAGTTATCCATGGCAATCGTGTCAAAGATATAGATGAACATGTCTCTCATTTCAGCCTCCTAGCTAGCTGGTGATGATAACAAGCAGCATTTTCTGAAATGATCTCACTCAAACGGCTCTCGTCCTTTGGTTGCAGTAGGAGGAACAGCAAAAACAACTAGCAATACCGCAAGCTACCGCTACAGAGCTTCCATGTTCGAAGAATCATCAACCGTGTTTCACATTGCACACACCTCAAGAAGTTGTCCAGCTCTCAAACGACCACGCCTCTATCCCGCACTTCCATTCGGCATACTGATTTGGTTCTAGACTTGAAACATCTTGTTGCCCCACCTTCCTCTGGAAGTTTGTTTTGGTACGGTGGCAGAAGCAGCCCAACTATCAAAGCAATGTAAGTGTAACAACTTTGCTAGTAGTAGCCATGGTATTATAATAGCTTTGGGCAAACAATTGTTAGTTGCTTCCAGTCCTGACAACAGTCCTATCCACATGTATGACTGCCTTCTGGTTGTGCGAAGGAAGTACCGGTAGGCAAGATTGGGGGTATTGACATTTCCTGGGGGACAACATCAGAGATGCCTTTAGTGGTCTGGGGCATACCCCTTGCCTGAAAAGCTTGTTTGGCATCAATCCAGTCGAATATTTGGCCCCAATTTCTGCACTCACACCTTAGATAGCCAGCTTGCTCGGCTTGTATTGGGCTGTTGCATATGTCACAGCCAACATTCATAAGATCAAAGCCAATGTTGTCGTCATCCTCCCTCTGAGCTTGAAGCGCTTGACAGTAGAGAGAACTCCTCAAGTACAAACAAACCTGTTCCCTCGCCTGTTTCCAGTTAAAGAGGTGCTTACAGGTGTCACAGGAACAGATTTGATCACCATACTCATCAATATGATTAGCACAGCCACACCGGTCACATGGACGTTCCTTGCCGTAAATGTATCTAGGCAAGATTGGGGGTATTGATATTTCCTGAGGAACAACATCAGAGATGCCTTTAGTGGCCTGGGGCATACCCCTTGCCTGAAAAGCTTGTTTGGCATCAATCCAGTCGAAACTTTGGCCCCAATTTCTGCACTGACACCTTAGATAGCCAGTTTGATTGGCTTGTATTGGACTATTGCATATGTCACAGCCAACATCAATAAGATCAAAGCCAATTTTGTCGTCATCCTGCCCCTGAGCTTGAAGCGCTTGACAGTAGAGAGGACTCTTCAAGTACAAACAAACCTGTTTCCTCGCCTGTTTCCAGTTAAAGAGGTGCTCACAGGTGTCACAGGAACATATTTGATCACCATACTCATCAATGTGACGAGCACAGCCACACCGGTCACATGGACGTTCCTTGCGTAAATGTATCTAGTAGATGCAGTGCTACTCCCCGCTCTGCTGTTTCCATCGTCACCTTCCTCTGCACCAGTAACGTTTCCATAAACACCACCATAGACATCATCACCGTCAAGTCCAAATTGCTCCAGATGATTATAGTAGTATCCATCGTCGTCGAAGAAACTGCCCCATGATTTGTATGAGTTGTCGTCCCACATTTTGCGGTGCGTAACCTTGAAGCCTTGCAAAGAATGAGGGATTCTCCTGGTCGATTCTCCAAAACCTCACGCTGGACAAGTCCACGATGGCCGGTGTGTGAAGTTTTACGATCCGTGCTCATGTAGGTACTAGTACTGAATGTTCGTCGTTTCGGGTGAGACCGTTGGAGAGATTTTTCTCCCGACATCTTATAGAGGACAACAATGTCTTGCAGCGTGGAAACCCCACACGTCGTGATAATACAGTCACGTTTAAGACTGGATCACGAATGGTCTGTTTTTCTGAAACGAAATCTTCACCAACGCTTCTCCTACCGGTACACTGTGGAGTGTGGAGGCACCGGTACAGTGGTAGCTCTCAAGGACTTGCTCGATGTACATCAACGCCAAACTACTGTTGCGCTGACAAGTTGAATAGTCAAGAATGAGAAGAGATCTGTTGGCCGCGGTGTTCTTGTTGCCTCGCAGTGTTGTTTCGCTTGTGCCGGTTCCTACTGCCACTGTCAATTCTTCATCCCTGAAAATGTCGTCGTCGTCGACGGCTCAAGACGAATATTACCGCAAAGAGGGAGTAAGAATCACACATGACCCTTATGCACCTGGAATGGCCGAAAAATATGGACTTCCAGGTCAAGCGGATCCGGAAGGCTTTGACCCGTGTGCAGATACCGTGGGTGCCAGTATCTACGGTGGCTCTGTCCAACGGGACCCTACCACAGGCCAAGTCGTCATTGGAGAACAATACCAAAACCACAATCACCGCCCAGGTCCTGTGTACGATGGAAGCGGATACTCCATGATGAGTCGTGCCATTCATGCCGGTCCCGACACTGTCAAGAGCGTTCTGAAGGACTTTCCAGAACTCAAGGAAGAGATTTCCACGGGAGGAGCCCGTCCCCTCCACATGTGTGGCATGTCACAAAAGGGACAAATTTCCACCCAAGTCCTGATTGATGCCGGAGCCGATATCTCTTCTCAATACTCTTACGGTTATACACCAACAATCTTGCTGTTGGTGGCGAGGCATTGGTCAAACCAGGGCAGGATCCCAACGCACCCATGGAAGGTGCCGACAGCACCCCCATTCAGATTGCCAGACGCTCCAGAGCAATCCAGTTTCTCATGAAGATGCAAGAAATGGGTCACTACGACTAACTTTAGAGTTTCCCAACTAGCCAAAACGGTTAGTCCTATGCCATTGCCTCTCAACGTATAGTCATTGTTCCCAGTAATGTAGGTGCTTGAAAGGAAAGATCAAGGCCAACACATGCAACTCCTGGAATGGCTACATCATACGTTTGAATGGAAGCTTCAACGATCCTCTCATCAGACATAAATGTTCAACGTCTGTACTGCTGCACTCTGCCATTCTGCAGTTGCATCCAGCGGAGACTGTGTCATCTTTTGCAAGATCCTTTGGATCCTGGGAAGAGCCACTCCCCATCGAGCGTCACCGTGTTGACGAGCGTGCATGGAAGAGTAGATCGCTCGTTTCGATCCTTCATAGCAAAACTCTTCCAGCTCTGATGCCAAAGCACTAACCTCACTCTTGGTGGGACGTATAACCCTCAGAACGGCATAGTCATCTCGATGGTGGTACTGACCAGCTTGACGCATGGACTTTTGCACCCTCTCGATCTTGGGTATATCCCGAGCAAGGCTCTGAGCAGATCCACATAGCGACACAGGAAGGTAACCAGCCGAGCTTTCCGCTAGATGATAGCCCATACTTGCCCCGGTATGGCGAACAACCCTGCCAGCACATTCTGCGTGCAGGTAGTCCAGGACATCCTTTACTGTACTGTTGAATATGTTTGGAAATGTGACTCGCAAACTCAATTCATGTGAAGCGTCCTCGGTGTCATATCCACAAGCCTTGTCGATGTAGTTCAGAACAGAATGAATCTCATTGGGGCTCCAAAAACAAACTTGAAAGTTGTTCCTGCATGAGAAATTTTCAAGTTGCTTTGACAAAAGCGCATCAACAGACAAAGTCTTGATGTCAGATAGCGTGATACCTTCCACAACTAAAAAGACCTTGTCATTGCCAATTTTCTCTACCACGGTATGAAGATTGATGGGACCGTTAGGCAATGGATTCCATGAAGCACCCCTTATGGGCATATTCAAGAGACGGCATCCAGCACCTTCTTGCAACTCGGGTTTGATCTTCTCAACGCGACCAACATGGAAGTGAATAGCTCCTGCTTCTCCTACGCTGATATTGGGCTGCCGGAGAGGCTCGAATCCGGAGGCATCAAATAAGTACATACCGCAAAATGCAAGCACCGAACTCAGAAAGTTCGGTCGCAAGAATTTTCCAACTCGACTATCCCTCGTGCAAATGGAGCAAGCATCATGAAAGCTCGTTTCTGACACGAATGCTTCCTCCACGCCATTGATTAGCGTACTAGCTGGGCGAAACACATTATAGCATGGGACGTGGGGATCCCCGCACTCTGGGAAAGCCTTGCATTGGGACCAGCAATGCAAACGGACAACCCGATGCGAGGATTGAAATGTGAGTTTGATGGCAGTTGCCGTGCCTGCCTTAAAGCTGTAGCCGCCACTCATGCAATTTCGGTCGCAATGTGCGGTTTGGTATTGCACCGTCTCAACGTCACGGTCTGCCGGAAAGTCCTGGATCACATGACCGTTTTCGTCGGTGGCAAACACCCTGGTAATGTTGTGCTCTTCGTCTAGCGTATTCAACATGGTAGATGCTCGAAGCAAAATGACACCTTCATCGTCCTTCGTCTTGATCAAGAGCTCCGCCTGCCAAGGTTTCAGAAAAAGGCGATGCTGCCCGATCCGCTTTCCAACCAGGGCACTTGCAACCAACTGTGAGTACTTCTGGTGTTCATGTGCCTCCTTCCATTCCAACGTTGACGGGAAAACAGCCACCATCTTACAGCTCCTCTTCCTTGACAAAGCAGATGACAAACATGCAACCCTTTTGGGATACGAGTGCATCAATCTGTGTTGCCGTTGTTTGATGTGCTTTCTCGATTTCGGGTTTTTGGGTGAAGGCAATGCTGGCGGTGCAAACGACCATGAGCACCTCCACGGACTGGCTAGCAACAAGCGTTGTCTGCATCACAATCATACTAGCTAGCTAGTGCTCGACTTCTTCTTGGTGAAGATTGAGCGTAGACGTTCTCTAGCTAGTACCTTGACGTTCATTGTGTGACGTGTGTGACGGTATTTCTAGTCTCTCCTCTTTGCAGAGATGGCATTGTCGTGTCCCGAAGGTTTTCACGGTGCTTTAGTACCGTAGCCAAGGCTTGGTGACAGCATGTCAACGGGAAGAGGTGAAGCATATAGGGAAGGACGGATACAATCGTCCACCTGCACGGAGCATCAAAAGCAATAATAACCCACTGTTCAAAATAGATATCAGGTGCACGTTGAGAAAGGAGCTCGACTGATCGCCAACGTGCTGCCTTTTGGTGTCTTATCTATCTTCAGTTCGTCGACCAATCCGCTTCACAACTGAACGCCAATGGCCCTGTCTGTAGTAGCTAGCTATAGTTGGCCAGCTAATCCTGCTGCCTCGTGCCTCGTATGGTACCGATGCTTTCCATTGCTGGTTGCCATACAGCCACACTGTCCCCATCCTTCTCACTTGGCAGCATCTGTGTTGTGTTTTCTGTTTGTGGCTGGAGTATGGATTGCATCCAGCTATAGAGCTACGACGGTACCTGGATCCGGCCGATTGGGACGAAGAATACGACGGTAGAATACCTTCGCCTTGCCCCTCTTTGGCATGTTCTAAAACAGGGGATTGAGGATTGCAAGTGGTCTACGCTACGAAAGACCATTGAATAGATCGCTGGCTTTGATTGTGAAGGTGGGTGGTGGGGGTGTCTTGGGGAGGGCTGTACACCACGAGCGCTCTATTCATCATGTCGTCAATCGCCGGTTCTTGATAGCTGCCTGCATTCTTCCCGCTAAACTGGATGGCAACATCACGGTTGACTCTTTCCACATAAATGATCTCTACATGTACTGGAGTGCCGTTTAGGCGGATGGTCCAAGTTCAGAGGGGTCGAAATTGTTGCCCCGCATCTTGTTTTGGTAGTTGTCTTGGCAGCCCCCCAAAATGCAAGGTCGTGTTCCCTGGTATAAATCTTACGACCTGGCTGATGTACATCAATGTAAACATTGTTGTCGCTGTGCATTGCACTACCCTTCCACGCGCCTTTGAAAATGCTACAAACTCCGATGTAACCTGGTTGTGGGCCCTTGTGGGCCCCTGTGGGCATGCGTAGTCTGGCCTTGCCACTCTCGGGCTCAAGCAAAACTTATAGATCTGGAAAACGCCTCTGGAGTTCCAATTCCAGATCCTCCTCAAACTTGAACACATTTTCCCTTAACCCCCGGAGTTCCTTGGGAAGTTCTAATTCTTCTGTGAAACTGTCCTGGTCTTCGTCACGCTCTTGCCGCCAACACCAAGGGGACGTCGCTTCTCCTCTGCCACACAGGCCATGGTTCTGGGCCTCTGGGCCTACCAGCAAGTCGTTCTAGCTAGATAGCTGCGGTACTGCTGGATCTGGCGACCAAGCTTGCACGTCCCATGTCAAGTGTGCCCGAGATCAGAAGTAGAGGATGTTGCATGTGTGCTTTGGGAAGGAGAAGACTTCCAATCTCCGTAATAACGATGGCGCGTGCACATGACATTGTGCAGTACAGTCGTACATACCGTACAGTACTAATACCTTACCGTACGGTACCGTACCGGTGGTACCGTACACGTACAATGACGGTGGCTGGATCAGGCAACGTTTGAACCCTAAATTTGTTGAAAGATTTTGGTTAAGGATAGTAGAAATGGGAAAATTTGCAGACCCCTGCGAGGTGACACCATGACACTGGAAAAGGGGTTTAGAGTAGGGAAATTATCTACGGAAGCCAGCCGGGGCCAGGCTTAAGCAAAGAACAGTCGAAATTCAGGACTAGGTTCTGAGGGATCAGGGGCAAGAAATTGAGGACCATTACGGGGGGCAAAGGGTTTGGCTTTGCGGGATCCACGGAGACATAAATGGGTAGCTTTCACAAGGGCAATTGAGATACGGGTCTGCATGAAGAACATCATTTGAGAGTAGGAAAATTGAGTTTTGGAGGCAGTAGCAGAAGCAAGGCGTTGTAAGAGAGTCTTGGCTTGAGGGGCAAGCATGCCATCCACTGAAACAACAAAGGGGTGGAAGGAAGCGCGATTGGACTCGCACGCATCTTTATATTTGGAAATTTTGTCGCGTTCTTGTTGGGTTAAAACTTTGATGGGATCTTTGTTGCGGTAAGAGGCACAGTGACACTAGCTGATCGCACGAGACGGACAGTGACTCGACTCTGCTGTTTGCTGTTGCTGTTGCTGTTGCTGTTGCTGTTTGGGTCCACTTATTAACAAGCTTTCTGTCTCAGTTGGCAGCCCTGCCTGTGTTGTGTTTCTTTTTTGTGGCTGGAGTATATGGATTGGATCCAGCAACAAGAAGCAAAAAGTAGAAATGGGCTGCTGTTCGAGTTCTCCCCATGAGCGACGGCGGTACTTGGATCCGGCTGATTTGGATGAAGAATATGTGGACACTCTCCCAGACCCCAACATCCGATTGCGTACGTTTGGGCGCTACCGTCCCAACCAAGTGTGTGTCCCCGACGACATTGACGGTCTCCCTTCCTCTCGCATTATTGACAAGTTGGCCACCAGTCCAGACACTCTGTTGTACACGGCCGAAATTGACAATGGCATGGCCTGGCGTTGTGTGCGACCGTGTTGGATTGTGTTTTTTCAAATCCTATTGACGAACGGCT